TTTTATGGGCTGAATTGAGGCTCACAACACTTAGAAAAATACCATAAGTGTTTGGCCATGACTTGGGCACCATGCTTGACTCGCGCGAGGCTAGGGTGCGGCACTAGGGCACGACTCATGGCCCGAGCTTGGAAAATGTTTAGTCGAGGATAACCCTTGGCTAGAGATGAACTCGTGGCTCGATAAAAAGGATCTCATACTTAGAAAATATTCTAAGTAAGGCTATGAGCATGGCTAGGGCTCGAACAAGACTCGAGACAACTAGGGCTCGAGAATTGGCTAGGCGCGATACTCGCGACCGAACAACTCGGTTCCGGACACGGCTAAACTTGGACGATTTATCGAAACAAACTCGGTTTCGATTATTCGTCAACTGGAATAACTAATTCCGACTGAATAAAATCCATTAATAAAATAATGGACCAGAATTAATAACTGAGCTTGAATAGCTGATAACTGGGCTCGGAACTCAAGACGAGCAGTATTAATAAAAAGAAATAGTTCAACTGGGAACTAAAAACTGTCATTTTTATTAATACAGAACTGGGCTATTACAATAGGTGTTAGTGTTATATACTGAAAGCTTGACTTTGCATGTTATTACACATTTGCCCCATTATAAATGAGAATCATGTTAGATTGAACAAATTCTACGTTCTGTTGTTCTGCACTTAGATGGAGTGGGTCGTCATCGGGCGAACCGAAGATCATTCTATCAGTTACTTGCGAACAAGAATAGTTGTTCACAACCTAGATGGTCATGAACACACCATCTGAAGGGTTGTAGTGTGAACTGTACAGTTTGTCTTGACTGATTAGTTGCACTAGTACATTTATGTATTGAATAGGATCCCAGAGAGGAGAAGTTCATTTTATACTGATCGTAAATGAACTAGGCCTCGGTTAATTACTGCGTTCTCTTAACCTGTAAGATATTAAACAGGCAGATATATATAATATATATTACTTTGATTCACATGGGTGAGGTTCAGTTCACTGGATTAATATTCCTACTGTTTTGGGTAATATTATTATATATAGGATGTGCTGTTAGGATATTTACGGTCACCATGTGCGTTAGTTTGATAATGTCCCCAGAGTGAGTTCATGAAGGATTGTTGTGCTAAACCCTGCATGTGGATTAAGTTCCGGCATAATAAGAATGTGATGAACGAGCGCTAGCTTCGGTGAAATAATAATAAATTAATTAATTCTTGATTGTCAGTAATCGAATTAATTAATGGACATTATATCTTAAACGTGGGGAGGTAAATCGAGTAATTATTATTGGAGTCTCAAATGTAATTTGAGGTAGGAAAAGGGAGTACAATAATATAATGTTGGTGGCCCATTAATATTATTTAATTAATTAGAGGAGTGAGCTTGGCCCACAGTTAGTTTAATTAATTAAGGAACTCTTTTTCTAATCTCCTAAGGGTCCCTACTGTAGCTCTATATATACATCATTAAGCTCATGAGAAGACAGAAGAAATCTCATTCACACGAGATACACGCCTCACACGCCCCTCTCTAGATCTCATTCGAGCTTTATCTTCTTCTTGTTGCTCCACTGGTACAAGTTGAAGAAGGGTGTATTGAGTAATACAGTAGAAGATCTGTAGGTAAACCGAGACGAAATATATTTTGTCCTACAGAACTAACCGGAGGTTTGATTGAGACGCACAGCATACCCAGACGACCGTCTCGACGAAATATATTTTGTCCTACAGAACTAGCCGGAGGTTAGATCCGCTGTGCATAGGTTTACGTTTGTTATTGAATTCGTGACTTATACATAACGAGATCCTCACAGATCCCAACAAGTGGTATCAGAGCACTTGGTTAATTCGTTTTGTACAAAGTTCAAATTTTTACGGCTTTATTTGACAAGATGTGTTCAAACGCAGCCATATATTGGATTAAATTTGCATAACTCGTTTTTGCAGGTAAATAGTTAATCCACTATTATGGCCGATTATGTGTTTGATGAATGTTTTTGAATGTGATGTATGGTTTTAAATTTTTTTTAAAGCCTCGGACATGTCGAAGAATTTATGGATGAATGTTTGTAATAATTATTCGCCTGGGGGTTGACCGGATAGACTTAATTATTTGTTTAGAAAATATGTAATTTTGTAAATTATATTTTTCGTGTTGTGATCGTGTGTTGATGACCGGGAGATCACAAGAAGATCAACGAGCCTCGAAGAATAAAAAAAAAAATCGGCGTTTTTTCCGGCGAACCGGTGGCGGCGGCAGGCGGCGACTGGTGGCTGGTGTTTTTGTCTTGATGACCAAGCAGTACAATATCAACCAGGATTCTACTGCTTAAAGGAGTTCCAGTTGAACAGGGAAAGAACTGTCACAGTTTCCTTGTTTAAGGAGACTCAATATTTAATGGCCATAATAGTGGATTTATTTATTTATTTAATTAAATTTATTATGCCATTAAATTATTATTTATGCATGTTAATTAATTATGTTCTTGCATGAGATTAATTTAGTATTGCAAGATTAATTATGCATGTTAATTAATAATGTAATGCATAGGATTAATTTAGAATTGTGACAATAAATTATGTATGTAATTAATTATTGCACTGACATGGATTAATTTAGAATTGCTTAAATTATTGAACATGTTAATTAATTATTGCATTGACATAGGTTAATTTAGAATTGCATGTTAATTAACTATTGCAATAACATAGATTAATTTAGAATTTTATAAATAGTTAAAAATCCTCTTTAAATAATACTAAGTTTGAGAAGGGATTTTAAATTAAAGTGAATTGTAAAAATTCCTAAGGCCTCTATTTCTAATTTTTCGGCAAAATCAATTAATTGCGGTAATGAGCTCCTCCACGGGTGACATTGCTAAAATTGGTTGTAGGAAATTATCAGGATAAATTTCTAAAATTAGACGGTTAGAGGGAATCTTAAGAGAGCGCACGGGCCTCCCCACGGGAGACGTGTAATCAATTTTGACAACCTCAGAATCGAGAAATGGGATTCACTTAGAATGCGATTAATCTATAAACTCCCCACGAAGTCCTTGGATTTATTGCATGGCCAAATGGAGACCGACTATTAATTTCGTTCGTCATTAATTTGGTGTTGACTTATGGAAATTAATGGGCCCTTGAAAAGTCCTTCTCTTACAAAATGCGACTTTATAGGGCGACCCACGTAGCATGCATTCTCACGAGGTGTAATAGATGTCAGTGAATAGGAATAATATAATGTTGGTGGCCCATTAATATTATTTAATTAATTAGAAGAGTGGGCTTGGCCCACAGTTAGTCTAATTAATTAAGGAGCCCTTTTTCTAATCTTCTAAGGGTCATACTGTAGCTCTATATATACATCATTAAGCTCATGAGAAGACAGAAGAAATCTCATTCACACGAGATACACGATTCTCTCTCTCTCTAGATCTCATTCGAGCTTTATCTTATTTTTGTTGCTCCACTAGTACAAGTTGAAGAAGGGTGTATTGAATAATACAGTAGAAGATCTGTAGGTAAACTGAGACGAAATATATTTTGTCCTACAGAACTAACCGGAGGTTTGATTGAGACGCACAGCATACCCAGACGACCGTCTCGACGAGGGATTTCCATCGCCGCCAAGATCGCTGTCGTACGACGCCGCACGCGCCCTCACGCGCCGCCGGAAGCTCCCAGATAACAAGTCTTGTTTTGATCTGTTTGCACCCATTTGATCCGATTTTGATTTGATCTTGTTCGTGCAACCCAAGACGTGATTTGCGGTCAACCGTTCGTGGTCAACCAGATCTACATAAATTTTAAGCCGTAAGTTTTCTACGTCAAACCTTTAGATCCGCTGTGTATAGGTTTACGTTTGCTATTGAATTCGTGACTTGTACATAACGAGATCCTCACAGATTCCAACAATAGGGACTTCTGACAAAGGTAATAAAGGCAATTAAAGTTTTGTATAATTTTCAAAATTTCACTAATTTTTCCACCAACATTTTAGGTTTTCCACAAGTGATTCAAAGAACAAGAAATATATCTCCAATAGCAAGATTATGCTCAAAAGTGAAATTGATGAATTGGAAAATGGAGATGTCGTTTTGCTATATGAAACTGATGAGGTATTTGTTAGATTATATTAAAATATTTATTATTATAAAAATTTCTTATCATATATAATTTCACATATTTTAATTAATTACTATTTAATAACTGCAGAAGTCAAATTTTCTTATTCTCCTGCAAAGAGTGGATCACAACAATGGGTTAGTTAGATTACTGTTTTGGTTTTTAATATCTATTACATATATTATATGATTATATCACTAATTACTATATGTATATAATATAGGACGCATCTATGGAAGATGAGGTCACAATTCCATTGAAAATTGTCTAAGTTGTTGAGCATGTGCGTGACACGTCTGCAGCTAAGTGGAATCTCATGAAGGATCTGTCTGGTTCACATGAACATACTACAACTAAAGAAATGGGATCTGCTACTACAGCTAAAGCCCAACTGAGCCTCTGTTCGGCCTAAGGAACGCTCGACTATGCCCTGCAACTCGACTCCTCCCCAAGATCGTCTGAAACCTCATGTCTTTTCCACATTACTTTCCTTATCTTGGGTCGCACACATAGTTTGTCGGCGCCTTTCGGTTCTTGCGTAGTATGGAAATGTGCCAAGTCCAAGCCTTAAACTTAGGTTTTTAATAGACGGTCGGAGAGAAAAGGTATTATTTGTGTTTGGTAAGAGTCCGAAGAATGAAAGAATTTTCTCTCACCTCGTTCGATTTCTTTNNNAACGAAGTGTGAAAATCTTAAAAACGATAACATTCCGCCACGTGTTAGTCTCTTAAAACAAAATACGAAACTTTCTTGTTAAGAGAATCAAAAATAGATAACACAATGAGCATTTTAGTAAAATAATGTTATGCCACATGCCATTGTTTTAAGTTCTACCATTCTTAAATATAAGAGAGCCATGTGATGAATGAGTAGCAAGTAACACTTAAGGCGCTATTGGATATGAATCCAATCGATTTTGATCTCTTTTGTTTAGTTAAAGTGAGTTAAAGTGAATAAAGTAAATTGAATGGATGATTTTGAATTACAAATTAATTAATATTTAAAATGTAATGATTAAAGTTGGTGTAATATAAAAGTAGGAGAAAGATTATTGAAAGTCACAGGTAGTAAAATTCACGTGAGTGGATGAATAATGAATTAAACTTTGATGTGATATGTGAATGATTCATCGATATTATAAATTATATTTATAAAAAGCAGAAGAGTTGGATTTTGAGTTAGATGATTGAAAATAAAATAACCCTACCGGTCATAACTTATTTCCAATCACGCTCTAAGGGGACAATCAAATCGGCCGGTCATAACTTATATCCAATCACGCTCTAAGGGGACAATTGATTATAGTTCAAATCGGTTTTGTTTAATTATATTTGTAGTTAAAGTGAGTTATTTTGAATAAAGTTGGTTGAGTTGAAGATCGAGTGAGATCTTGAGTTTGTAGTTAAATAATATTTAAAATGTAATGATTAAAGTTGATGTTATGTAAAAATAGGAAATATGTTGAAAACCGTGGATAATTAAACATATGTGAATAGATGGAAATTGAATTACAATTGTTGTGAGATGTGAGGATGATTGATTTAATAGTATTTAATTATATTGATAGTATTGAGGAGATCCGAGTTATATTAAAATAAGTTGAATTTTGAATTAAAATATGTACAACAAATTACTTGGTCAGTAAAAATCGATTAAAAACAACAGCCAAAGCGAAAAATCAGAAACTGGACTAACAAGTGCCCAAACAAACAGTCTGTGCCTCGAGTGGGCAAAAACATAAAAGCCAAAACGACTACCCAAATCTGAAGGATGAGTAACCAAGCTGATCCATCCGCACAAGCGTGCAGAGGCGGAGAGGTGAATCATTCGGCTGAAAGATGCGCCTCTAGGGAGTGGAGGCGCCGATGCAAGCAAGGAAATCAGCAGGTTGGTTCCCCTCACGGAAGACGTGCGATATCTGGTAGCAGACCGACTGAAGTGTAGATAATGCGCATGAGAGAGTGCTGAATTTGCCACGAACCCTGGTGGCCTGAGGTCAAGAAGGTGACAACAGAGGCTGCATCCAGCTCAATCCAAATGCGAGAAAAGATAGTGGATGTGATCTGAAGACCTATCTGAAGCGCCTAGATCTCAGCGTCATAACTCGAGGTGCCCTGGAAAGAAGCATCTAAGACGGTATGAGATCTCCGCTGTGGTCCCTAATCGGGCCCCCTCCTTCGGCGGCTCTGGTAAATGGTCGTAGGATAAATCAATTATAATAGTTAGCCACACATTATGTTATTAAAATTATTTATCTTTATGTTATTGTAAATTTGTAATTAATAAAAAGTGATAATATATCAAAAACATTAATTTTGACAATCCCCTCTATGTATTAATTCAAAATGTGTTGAGCCTAAGTGGCAGGTTCGCGTACTTGGTGATCCTATGTGGCAAAATTACATGCTTTGTTATTAGACTTGGGTAGATTTTACTTTATTTCCAATCAAAAAATAATCAGGTTCGGATTATCCATAAATATGTTGATTATATATGGTCATGTTACATGTATTAATTGCATTTTAATATAATTTCTTATTATAACCATTGAATTGTAAATATATTTTAAAAGTTAACTAGTGTGTAGCCCGTGCGATGCACGGGTAAATAATATTAAATAATAATTATAAATTACCGAAGACAGTAAACAATATTAACTAATAATTATAAATAAAATATGAGGGTAAACAATATTAACTAATAATTGTAATTAAGGTGTGGAGTTAATATGTGACATAATTTATCGTATATTGGTTGTAAACAATATAAAATTATCTTGTATAAAATTACATAAAAAATGTATGTTTAAAATATTAAAAACACCTAAAATATTATATAACATATGTAAAGTATCTAAAATTTTATATATCATTATTAAAGATGTGAAGTCACCTAAAATCTTTTTAAACTATTTTATAAATAAAACATGTCTAAAATTATTAAAAAAAATCTTGCCGAAAATATATTATTCAATTTCCAGAAGATGATGATAAGTATAAATTTGAATTTTAGAATCCACGTGAGTATTATTTTTTAGATCCGTGTACCATACAAATTATTCATTATGTTAATTTCCTGTGAACTTCATATTGATTTATTGATTTTATTTTATTTCTATACAAAGTTGATCGTCTCATTTTGTTTTACCATATTTTCTTGGAGATTTAACAAAGTTGATTGCATTTATAAAATGATTTGGACATCAACATACAATTTATAATGGAGTTTTCAAAATTGTGTACTTAACAAATAATATATTATCATTAAATATTTCTTTTAAATGCATAATTATTGAGACTAATAATTTGATAATTATGTTACCTTTTGAAACCGAGTATAGAAAAAACAATAGATTGGTAAACAAAGAAGTGATAAACATTACCAAGTTTATTATCACACGTTCCAAATAAAAAAATTGTGATGATTAGTGGAAAATGATATTTAACAAACAACATTTAATATCTATACTTATATTAAAGGGGGTTCTATTTACCAAATTAAGTAGCTAGAAAAGTCAACAGCATTTATTGCATTACTATTTCCGTATTATATTATATAAAAGGATATTCTATTTACTACATTTATTATCCAGAAAAGTCAACTGCATTAAATGTCATTACTATTTTGGTATTATAATATTTTATTTATTTAATTGATTTATTTATTTATTTTATTTTAAAAAGGTAAGTATAATAAAAATATTTTAATAATAAAAAAATTAAATACTAAATAAAAATGTACACTTTGATTTATTTGATTATATTTGGTATTTGATATAACAAATATATTCCTATTTAGTATATACATTAAATACTTACTAAAGTATTTATTTGTTTTATTTGTCAAAGTTAAGTATAGATTTGTTTATATTATCAAATCATAAAAAATATTAAATCCATATTGTAAAAAAAAAATTCATATAATTTTATAACAATTCTACTACACTATTTAACAATATTCCTTTTTTATTATATAATAAAATAATAATTAAATATTATATGGTGAACAACAATAAGTAAAACTGTTACTTTCTCTTATATCAAGGGATAAATTTATATGCTAAAATTAAATTTTTATTAGTATAAATGTTTTAGTGAGATAATATATTAATTATTTTACAAGCTAGCCCTAACATGCTCATATTTAATGTTTTAAAAGATGTAGAAAAAAAACTTATAATAACTCTATTGTTTTTTAGACTTAAACGTTGATTAAAAGAGGTAAAAATTCCTAATTTTTTAGACTTAAACGTTGATTAACACCATAGATTGAGAGTTTATATTTAGTAAAATTCCAAATTGTAATAAAAAAATTAATTTTTGCTATATTTTAGAATATCTTTAAATTCATTATAAAAAAAAAGAAAAAAAAAACTACAATGAAAAAAATAAGTCAGCTATATATCGATTGTTGTACTCTTCAAATCACATTCACAATTTGGCTATAAGGAAATGAAACTCATTGATTAAAATATTATTTTGTCAGTAGTCTTAATGTACAAGAGACTTTAAGACTCCACTTGAATATTATAAAATTTTTATTGAACATCGTACAATTTCTTGCGTATTATAAACTTTTATTGAATATTGCATCTTATAATATAATATTCTTCAAATAAATATATCTCGCGGGTCACGTACTATATATATTCCGTACATTTTTCTTGATTCATGTATATAATTATAAGTCTGGATAAATAGCCTTAAAATTGTGCACCCCGTGCAACGCACGGGCTCTGTACTAGTTTTTTTTGAAAGGCATAAATTTTTGAATTGAGATTTTATAAATATGGAGACTGAGATTTAATGTTCTTCGTTGTTTCTACGAAAAAATAAAATAAGAATGAAAAATGCACACTTAATAGATCTTAGCTAGAATTTTCAAATAATAAAATTAGTTAAAGACAAAAATTTAATGCAACATTAAATGTTGTATGATTTTTTTAAGATAAAAATAAAAAAATAATAAAACTTACTATTTATAGGTTGCATTAAATTCTCTCCTATTTTTTTGCTACTATTATTATTAAATGGTAATTCTTATTATATATGTATAGATAACTTTTGTATTTTTTATTAGGTTTACATATATAATATATCAAATTAATCATATCTGATAAGTTTCAATTTAATATCCATATTGTATGTATAAAAAAAATTCAATTATATTTTTCCTTATAACAATAATAAAATTATTTTTTAATATTAATTAGAAAAAAATTATACATCAATTAATATACTTATATTTCAAGTAGTTATATCATTAAAGTTA